GTGGCTTCAGGAGTCACCAGCATTTGGCTTGGGGGAGAAAGCATTTTATTTATAGAATGAGTAGGTCAAGGTTTGAAAGTTAATCAGATTAGAATTGTATTTGCTTCGAGGAAAGTATGTGCTTCATGACCCGGCCAGAGGCTGAGTGTGGTGGCTCACCCCTGTAATCCCAGCACTTTGGGAGTCTGAGGCGGGAGGATGGCTTGAGGCCAGGAGTTCGAGACCATCGTGAGCAAGAGCAAGACCCCATCTTTACGAAAAATAACAAAATTAGCCAGGCTTGGTGGCGCATGCCTGTAGTCCCAGCTACTCGGCAGGCTAAAGCAGGAGGATTGCTTGAGCCCAGGAGTTTAAGGCTGCAGTGAGCTATGATGACACCTCTGCACTCTACCCAAGCAACAGAGCAAGACCCTGTCTCAAAAAAAAAAAAAAATTGCAAAAACATTAAGTTCCTCAATTCTGAAGGAACTGAAACATCCAGTGGTCTTCATGTCACCTTCTGCCATGGAGGTCATAGAGTACAGGAGTCCCCCTTATTTGCAGTTTCACGTCCCACAGTTTCAGTGGACCATCATACCCGTGACCAACCATGGTTCAAAAATATTTAAATAGAAAATTCCAGAAATAAACAACTTGCAAGTTTTAAATTGCACACCATTCTAAGTAGCAGGATGAAATCTCATACCTTCCACTTCATCCTGCCCCAGTCATGAAACATCCCTTTGTCTAGTGTACACACACTGTATATGTCACCTGCCCGTTAGTCACTCAGTTGCCATACTGGTTATCAGATCGACTGTCACAGTATCTCAGTGCTTGTGTTACAGGAACCCTTATTTTACTTAATAATGGCCCCAGAGCACAAGAGTAGTGATACTGTCCGTTTGGATATGCTAAAGAGAAGACATAAAGTGCTTCCTTGAAGTGAAAAGATGAAAGTTTCCAACTTAATAATGAAAGAAAAAAAAATCATATGCTGAGGTTACTAAGATCTATAATAAGAACATATCTTCTAGCCTTTAAATTGTGAAGAACAGGCTGGGCGCGGTGGCTCAGGCCTGTAATCCTAGCACTCTGGGAGGCTGTGGCGGGCGGATCACTCAAGGTCAGGAGTTCGAAACCAGCCTGAGCAAGAGCGAGACCCCGTCTCTACTATAAATAGAAAAGAAATTGATTGGCCAACTAACATATAGAGAAAAAATTAGCCGGGCATGGTGGCGCATGCCTGTAGTCCCAGCTACTCGGGAGGCTGAGGCAGGAGGATTGCTTGAGCCCAGGAGTTTGAGGTTGCTGTGAGCTAGGCTGACGCCACGGCACTCACTCTAGCCTGGGCAACAAAATGAGACTCTGTCTCAAAATAAAATAAAATAAAATAAAATAGATTCCGAAGGAAGTTTTTTAAACCTCAATGATTCACCCACATCTTTACGGCCCACATTAGCCAGAATCCACTTGGGTAGTGAAATATCTAAATGGACTTTGTAACCAATAAACAGGCCGAAAGGTTTGCTGGCATACAAGCAGAAGTGGACAGACTGCCATAGCTGTCACAATCTTGGCACATGAAATACTAATAAGTGGGCCTGGAAGACTTCTAGTCACTTCCCAGCGTCCTCCCATTGGTGGAATATCCATGCGATGGCTCGGGGTGCGTTCAGCGAGGCCAGTGCACTAACGGAGGGTGTCAGAGCCCTCCGACCTCAGCGACACACAACAGTGACTGCATAACGGCTGACAGCCAGGTTCTCGGAAGACGGTCCTGGAATCTTGCTAGTCGAGGCTGATCAAGCCAAGCAATTCCTAATCTATCTGGTGCCAAGGCCTCTATCTGAGATCATGTCTCCCATTATAAGACAATTCCCTGTTGCACCTGTCAGTTATTGCTGTGTAACAAACCACCCCAAAACTCGATGGCCTGCAACAACTGTTTTGTTTTTTGTGTTTTGAGACAGGGTCTCACTCCGTCACCCCCAGTAGAGTGCAGGGGTGTCTTAGCTCACTCCAACCTCAAAGTCCTAGACTCCATCGATCCTCCTGCCTCAGCCTCCTGAGTAGCTGGGACTAACCAATGATTGTTATAGCTCATGTGTCCGAGGGTTGGCGGGGGATTGTTTCCATCTAGGACACTCTCGGCTGGGTTTGCAAGCAGGGCTTGCTCGTGTGTCTGTGGGTTTTGTCCTGGGAGAGGGTGGCTCTGCTATCTTTTTCCTTAGGGCTCTTTGGCTGGGGCTGCTCTGCTCCACGTGGCTCTGTTCTCCTCTGGGACCAGCAGGGGGCGCACAAGAGCAAGGCAATGGGAAGCGCAGGCCACGCCCTGCTTCTTCTGCCTCGTTCCATTGGCCAAAGGGAGTCACGTGGCCCAACCCACTGTCCCGCGTCCAGGAAGTAACCATTCCTCTCTAGCAGGAGAGGGTCATAAAGGGTGGAAAGGCAGGGGTGTGAGGAGGGGTGAGATACTGGGACCCAAAACGCAATCTCCTGCACTACCAGCTAGCACTTTCTTCCAATCAGCTGCAGTTTTTCTCCCAAACACAGGGATCAGGGACCCCCTTCAAACCACAGGTCCCTGGAAGCTCCTGGTGCTGTCCCAAGACAACCTTACCCTTGGCCACTAACCAGCAAAAGTTCAACCCTGAGTACATATTAATAATTTCAATGTTAATATAAATATTCATAACAATATACATATTATGACATATAGCATATAAATATTAATATATAACATATTACAATATACTGGGAGACAGAGCAAGACCCTGTCTCAAAAAAAAAGAAGTAGGAGGCCGGGCGTGGTGGCTCACGCCTGTAATCCTAGCACTCTGGGAGGCCGAGGCAGGAGGATTGCTCCAGGTCAGGAGTTCGAAACCAGCCTGAGCAAGAGCGAGACCCCGTGTCTACTATAAATAGAAAGAAATTAATTGGCCAACTAATATATATAGAAAAAATTAGCTGGGCATGGTGGCGCATGCCTGTAGTCCCAGCTACTTGGGAGGCTGAGGCAGGAGGATTGCTTGAGCCCAGGAGTTTAAGGTTGCTGTGAGCTAGGCTGACGCCACGGCACTCACTCTAGCCTGGCACCAAAGTGAGACTCTGTCTCAAAAAAAAAAAAAAAAAAAAGAAGTAGGAGCTGCTTATTGGCAAACACGCTGACCTAGTCACCCAGCCTAGAGCACAGTGGCGTCATCATAGCTCCCTGCAGCCTCAAACTCCTGGGCTCAAGCGGTCCTCCCGCAGCTGGGACTACAGGAGCGCCACCAAGCCCAGCTAATTTGGGTTTGTTTGTTTGTTTGTTTTTATTAGAGATGATTTTATTAGAGATTATATTGCCCAGGCTGGTCTTGAACTCCTGGCCTCAAATGGTCCTCCCACCTCGGCCTGCCAAAGTGCTGGGATCACAGGCGTGAGCCACCACGCCCAGTGAAGCCAGTTCCTGCTTCCGACTGCCCACTCACCCCAAGGGGGCAAATGCGGCTTGAAATGTGTCTAAGAACACAGAGGTCTAGCCACGTCTCCTTAAAGCTGGGAACAGAGACTGCCCGTCCCCTGCAGCTGACTGAATTAACAGTCCCAGTTCTTCACCCTGTCTGCTCCCACACGCTTTGCCAGGTGACTTCGCAATACCTCCCACCGAAAAGAGGGAGTATGTTATTAGCACATGTCACCTTTGTCACCCCTTGGATTTGGGTTCAGCCGTGGGACTTGCTTTGGCCTATGAACCGTCAGCAGGAGCGAGGACTCCATTGTGCCTGTGTGTGGCTTCTCCTGACCCTAACCCTGGAAATCTTGTGGCACCAGTTCTGCCGCATGCTCTGGGTGGAAGGAATCACCCATTCGGATTCAGGAGAGGCGTAGACCCCAGCTCCCAAAGGCAGTCATTATGGGCCAAATTGAGTCCCCTCCAAATTCTTCTGTTGAAACCCTAACTCCCAGTGCCCCCCAGTGTGACTGTATTTGGGGACAGGGCCTTTAAAGAGGCGAGGAAGTTAAAATGAGGCCATGAGCGTGGGCCCTAACCCAATCTGACTGGTGTCGTTATAAAAGGAAACTTGGACAAAGAGACACCAGAGACTTGTGTGCGCAGAGAGACCATGTGGGGACACAGCGAGAAGCCGAGGACAGACGCCTTGCAGGACACCAACCCCGACCAGCACCTAGACCTTGGACTTCCGGCCTCCAGAACTGTGACAAAATAAATTGCCTGTTGGTAAAGCCATGAAGTCTGTAGTATTTTGTTATGGCAGCCCTAGCGGACTAGTGCAAGTGACAAAGGATTTGGGGCCGTGGCAAGGTTTCTTATTTAAACAATTGACCTGGAGGTTCAGGGTCTTGTTCTGTTGCTGCCCGGGCTGGAGTGTAGTGGTACGATCGATCGATCATAGCTCACTTTGGCCTCTAATTCCTGGGCTCAAGTGATCCTCCTGCCTTAGCCTCCGATCAGCTTGGACTACAGGCACCAGCCACATGCCCAGCTAGGGTCTCGTATGAATTAAAATCACTGTTGCACGCATTTCCTCCCCTGTATAACCTCGGCGCTTACTCATAAGCAAAGGCACACTGAGCACAACACGTGGTCGCTGATTTCTGGGCCTGAGGCCTACAGGGACGCGGCTCTGGGAGCAAAGCAGGATACACGGACTCGGGCACACTCGGCTACACTTGTCCAGTGTTTATTGAACCGAGAATCGTTGCAAATGTCGCTGCAATTCAGACTCACCCATCCTGGTCCCTCTCTCGGCTTCCCTTTGAGCAGGAAGCCGGAGGCAGGACCTCCCCCAGATTCTGGGGGGGAAGCAGGCAGACAAGGGGGGGGTGCAGGGAGAGATGGTGAAATCGGGGGACAGGAGAGGGACAGGGCGGCGGGGAAAGGGAGATGCGGGGGCGGGGGGGGGGGGGACACACACACACCCACACAGGCAAAGACCAGGGGCGTCGATCTCTGCCCCCACACGGCGGCCGCAGGAACATCAAGGAAAGACCAGGCATCCGAGAGACATTTCAGTCCTTCCTGTCAAGAAGCGTCTGCCGAGAGGGGCGGGGTCAAGGTCGCTGGTCTGCAGAGAGAGAAAAGGTGCAGGGGGTTCAGCTGGCGGGGCCAGAGGCCAGCTGGGGACGCAAGTTCAGAGAGAGAGACACATGGAGGGAAATGCAAGCCCAGAGAGAAACTGAGGCATAAGGAAATGGGATGCCCCAGGAGGGTTGGACATTGTGACCCGACACAGCGAGCTGGGCTGAGACCTTGTTCTCGGCGGAGACCTTGTTCTCCTCCCTGCAGAATTCCTACTGCAGGGAGGAATTCTGATAAGGAAATCGAGGCAGGCTGTCAGTGCCGATGGGCAGCGGACCTCACAGAAAGCACCACGGGCCAGGCCCCCAGGGACACCTGGCTTCCAGAGAAGCGATGGGTGGCCAGTTTTCTTTGACACCCACGTCAGTCCAGCTGGGCAGAGTGTCCCACACTGACCCCTTTGCTCCTCACCAACTGACTGGTTTCTCTCCTGGGCAGGACAGATTCACCCTGCCCATCTCCTGGGAGGTCACTTCTAAGCCACTACAATGTCCTGCCTCATAAGAGGGTCTTGGTCTACCAGGGACGTTGGGCCAGGCCAGACAGTCCACGCTGACAATGTGAGTTGAGTTGGGGGCTGTGGGCCACGCGGTATCTGCTTAATCTCTGGGGGCACTGGAGACTAAGGGCAGCCTCGCCTACGTGACCCACCCCCCAATAAAAACCCTGGACATCAAGGCTCAGCTGAGCTTCCTGATTGGCAAAATGTGACACATGCTGTCGCACACCATGCCCTGGGAGAGGACAAGTAGAAGCACCTGGTCTCTCCTGGGCCCTGCCCCACGTGCCTCTTCCTTTTGGTCACCTTCATCTGTACCTTTCACTGTAATAAACTGTGAGTGTCACAGCTCTGCCAAGTTCCCAGAGTCCTGGGTGCTCTTGGGGACATCCTGAAACTGCACCCACAAAACACGCAAACAGGGATCACTCTAGCCAGATTGTCTCTGGTTTTCTTCCCCTCTCTCATTTTTCTTACATAAATCCCATTTTTGTGTGGGATAAAATCATCTATTGATTTAACCTTTCTAGAATCCAAGTAAATCTCTAGCTGAATTAAGACGACAGAGCTGAGTTATTGACAGGAACTAGCAGACCGTGTGTATAAAGGAGATTCAAATCCTGCTACGGTGGCACCCCACCCCCACCCTCCTTACAGCGACAGTCCACAATATAGCAGCTTGTGCAGCTCTGAAATTATGCAATTCCTTTTTTCATTTGGGGACAATTCACTTCATTTCAGACCTGCACGTGAGACAAGACATTATTTCTACTATCACACTGCACTGCTTCAAATCTGCACGGCCCCATTGACATGGACCTCACTGCTCTGGTATAGAATTCTAGGAAATGGAACTTCAGTTTAAAACATGTGAACCTAGTTTTCTGGCACGGAGCACACTGGGAGCAGGTACTCGGGTCCCCAGTGTGCTGGGATCTGACTCTCTGTTCTAGACCACCATGGAGTGGGAACTGGTACTGAAGTTTAGAGGAGGGTAGAAGTATGTTCTAGAATCCGCAGTGTCAGAACCAGGACTTAGCTGTGGACAGGGCTAGCAACTGGAGCCTAGTTCCAGGGTAGGTTGGGTTTGGAGCTCTTCCAGAACATACTGGCATCGAAACCAGAAGATCAGACTCAGAGGGTGCTGGAAGGCAGTTCTGTTTCCGGGGTAGCAAGGAAATGGCTGCTTGTTCAGCAACGACTGGGTTAGAAACTAGAACTCGGGTCAGAGTTCTGCATTTCTGAACTCAGAATTGGGTTTCTGAACCCAATCACTGGGTTGGGAAGGGGGGCCCGGGTTTATGGTGTGTTGGGAGCTGGTATTGTATTTGATTCTAGACTATATATAGGGGAACCAGGAGTTCGTTCTAGGGTAGTTTTGGAGCAGGCGTTCTAGAATTGGCATTTGTTTCTAGAGCATTCTTGGACTCGTGGTCAGTTTTAAAGTGGGTGTATTTTTGGAGCTGGGCTCAGCTCTGGAATGTTCTAGAACCAGTTCTCAGGTTCAGAGAACAATTCACAATCGGTCACAAGTGTTGGCCATGGGACTTCTGTCTCAAAACAGGCTGGCAGCTCGGGCTGGCACTCACTCACTCGGGTGGCCTGCTGGGCTGGGAACCGCCTCCTGGCCGTGGGACAAAGAGCCACGGTTCCAGATTCTGCACTGCGGTGTCCCTTGGGCGCCTTCCGTTCCCAAACCAGGAGAGCAGTTTTAGGGCAGTCCTCTGACCCGTCACCATCTCGGTGTCATCCTGCACCACCCAGGTCGGATGTCCATCCCGCCTGCTCGGGGGACAGTCCTGGTGTGGCGCCACCTCCCAGACTCTCCACCTGCGCCAGGGGGTCACGGTGTGGGGGAGGGGAGTGTCCCCTATCCCGGCAGGCACCCTCACCTCTGCCTTCAGGCCACATTAGGCCCGAGCCAAGGCAGCTTTGATGGCGGCCACCAGCTTCAGAAACTTGCTCTCTGTGTCCACGTAGCCATCGCCTCTCTGGGGACGGGAGGAAGAGGGGAGGGGTGAGCCAGGACCAAGGCCCCAACTTCAGCCCCAGCACACACTGACCAAAAAGTGAGGCGGGACAGACAGACAGACATACCTTCTTGGAGTGAACCAACTTCCCTGCTACCATCACTTCAAAGAACCCAGTGGCCTGAGGAGTCCCCTCGCCACACTGAGGAAAGACAGAGACGTTGGAAGGGCGGAGATGTCCGCTTGGGGACACCCTCCCCCTTCCCAGGGAAGGGAGAACATGGGGGGAGGGGGCAGGGCTGGCTAACCCATCCCCCACTGCCCTCCAGGCCTGGGGGACAGACAAGGTGTCCATGTCTGAGTCATTCCCCCCGTCCCCCAAACTCACGATGTCCAGGCACCCGGGGAACTCATCTTCTAACTTCTTCTTGAGTTGAAGATACTGGAAACAGGGTGGCAGGTCACCACACGGGTCACGCCAGCCAGCCCTCCCGCAACCCCCAGGGATGCCGCCCGCCTGCCACTGTCACCCTTACCTTGGACTTGTAGCCTCAAGCTCCGCTGGCGGGAGAGTCCAAGAGAGCGGGTCCGAGGGGTGACAGGGAGAGAGGGGGGACCCGGGGAACAGATAAAGAGGGACACAAGGGACAAAACAGAGGCGGTGACGGATACCGTGGAGAGAGGAGACAGACACCAGACACACGAAGGGCATTGTGGGACAGCGGGGGTGGGGGGCGGAGACGCAGGGAAGAGGGGGACACCCACACAGAGACACACAGACAAAGAAAACAGAAACCCAGCGTGGGGACAAGACGCAGAGAAGGGGGAGGGGCAGGTACAAGGAGACCAGACGACAGAGAAGGCAGCAGGGAGGGTCCCAGAGAGGACTGGATTAGGATGAGAGCGGGACCCCCTGCCACCCCCTGTGCCCTCAGCCCCCTGGCGGTGAGAGGAAAACCCTGTTACCCCTGGATTCTAGACGCCCTCCCAGTGCCAGGGCTGAAACGCAAGGTCCCCAACCCCCACGCAGGCTATTTCAGGACTGGAATCTGGTGCACAGGCCCCGTGGGTGCCTCAAAATGTCACTCCGGCCTCTAACGCAGGGACAGATGAGAGCTCTGGGTGGGCACACAGCATGGCCCGCAGACTTGGGTTCACATGTTCCTGTCACCTGCAGTCTGGACCTCAAGCTACTGACCTGCTCCTGGCCCACTCTCTGCCTCAGTTTCCCCATCTGTAAGATGGAGCTAAAATTCCTCTCCATGAAAGGGTTTCTGAGCCGGTAAATTCATTGAACATGGATTTATTAAGCACTTACTTCGTGCCAGCATAGTATGGGGGCAGTATAAAGCACTTCACCTGGGATAACTATTAAGGTTATTCCCCCACTACAGATGGGGAAACTGAGGCCAGAAAAGGAATGTGGTTAGCAACCAAGGGAACCCACTGGGCGGAGGTCCAGAATGTATTATTAGTTCAAGTCCTTTCAAAGCACAGTTCGACATTCTAGAACCTTCTCGCCCCTAACTGTTCGGCTGTTCAGGATGCTGGGGGAGGGGAAGCCTAACGGTAGACGGAAGCTTAAGTCCCATCACACACTGCTCCCCACCGCCTCCCCCAACCGGGCGTCCACAAGGGACACACGCACGTCTCGGGTCCCCTTCTACAGTCCGCGACCCCGGCATGTCACCCCCCGGGCGGGGCGGGCCCGCGCCCTCCGCACGCCGCCCCAGCCGCCCGGAACCCCTTTCCTCTTCCTGGGGCGCCCGTGCGTCCTCCCCGCGTCGCCCCGGAGCCCGCTCCAACCGGACGGGGGCCGCCGGGCGCCGCGCTCACCAGTAAACGACGTGCACCGGGAGACCCATGACTGCCGAGCGGGCGCGCGGCGTGGACGCGCCTGCGCACAGCGGCCGCCTCCCCGCCCCCACCGGGCTCGGTGGCGCGAACCAACGCGGGGGGCGGGGGGGTGCGGGTGGGGAGCGGGGGCGAAGGGGCGCCCAGGCCGGGACCGGGCCGCGACCGCCACCCCAGGCTCCGTCGCCAGCCCACCGCCGGTCCCCTGCCGGGCTAGGGCGGCCAGGCCGAGGGTCGGGGGGAAGCCCGCGCGCCGCCCGGAGCCCCCCGCGCCGGAGTGGCACGGCCCCGCGGGGAGCGGCGCGGGGAGCGGCGCGGGGCGGGGAGCCGCGCGTGGGCCGGAGGGGCCGTGGGCGTGGGGGGCCATGCTGGGGACAGCCAGGGGACGAGGCCCTCGGGGCTCGGGGTAGGCGCTGGGGCCCAGGCCGCCCGGGCCACCCCGCTGCCTTATCACGCGCGCAGGTGACCCTGCGCCCCCCCATCCTCGCACAGAGGGGTCCCTTTCCCGGCGGAGGGCTTCGTGGACAGGGCTGGCACCCGGCAGCCGAGTTGAGGGGGCAGGGTGCGGTCGCCTGTCGCCGAGCCTCAGTTTCCCCGTCTGGAGGATGGGCGTTATGGGCTGCGGGGAATGTCCACCCACGTGGCGAATACGTCCTGCCTGACCGCCTGCAGACCTAGGGTCGGGCTGCAGCGACCGGGAAGTAGACAGAGGCCCTTCCCTCATGGGACCATTTGGCAGCTGGCGTTGCAGGGCGTGAAGCGACATGAAAACACTACTTCCCTTGTGGGCTGGTGATGTGAGCAGCAAGCGAGTTCGTACACGTAGAAAGAACTAGAACAGCGTCTGGTACAATCGAGAGAAACTCGGGCCGGGCTCTTCCTGCCCCTGGCTTCTGTCTCCAGCCTCCCTGGGTCCTTAGGCGGTTCGAACCCTGACATCTCTGGGCAGGCTAAGTTCAAGTCCCACTGCACCTTTGTCGCCGGCCGTGTGACCCCTGATCCCAGTCGCCTGGGGAGGATTTAATGAGCGAGTTTATGTAGAGCACGTGACTCAGGGCTGGGCGAAGAGTGAAGTAAATACAGCTCCCTGTGGCTCTCAGAACAAAAGCCCAGACTGTAGCGTGACCTGGCCCCGCCTGGTCCCGCCTGGTCCCATGGTTCCCGCCTTGTCCCTTCTCTCAACGCCAAAGCGGCACTGAACCACCACCCACTGTCATTTCACCAGGGACCTCACCCACCTCCCAACCTCTGGACCTTTGCACATGCCATTCCTGTCCCCTCCTGCTCCTCCTCCAAGAATCAGCTCCGGGGACATATTGTAGGGAATATATTTGTGCTAGTTTGCTAGGGCCGTACTCACAGAGTGCTGAAAATTGAGTGGCTGAAACCACCTAAATGTATCAGGACAGGACACACAATTCAACCCCTAACGACATCGTTCAGAGTGACTGATTCTATGGGATCTATTTTGCAACTCCATAAATTATAGATAAGCGACAACAGTGTAAAATGATTCTACAGACATGCTGATGAGATCTGTCTGGTGGAGGGACAACCCTCTCCCCTCCAGTATTTTCCCTGCCTTTGCACATTCCTTTCAGTATTCCTGATCTCTTGTCTCCTCCTTCATAGCCACGATCACAACAAAAGGTTGTATTTGTTTCTGGTTTTTTTTTTTTGAGACAGAGTCCCGCTTTGTTGCCCAGGCTAGAGTGAGTGCCGTGGCGTCAGCCTAGCTCACAGCAACCTCAAACTCCTGGGCTCAAGCAATCCTCCTGCCTCAGCCTCCCGAGTACCTGGGACTACAGGCATGTGCCACCATGCCCGGCTAATTTTTTCTATATGTTTTTAGTTGGCCAATTAATTTCTTTCTATTTTTAGTAGAGACAGGATCTTGCTCTTGCTCAGGCTGGTCTCAAACTCCTGACCTGGAGCAATCAGCCCGCCTCGACCTCCCAGAGTGCTAGGATTACAGGCGTGAGCCACCTTGCCTGGCCCTCTTTTATGTTTTCTAATAGAAGTTGTATACCTTTAGCTCTTCTAGATCTTATGTATTTCCTTTCAGGATCTAGGTTCCTTTCCTGTCTAATCAATCACTGCCATGTGGCCTCTTTGAGATAAAGATTGAAGGGTGAGGGGGCTCACACCTGTAATCCTGGCACTTTGGGAGGCAAAGGCAGGGGGGAATCACTCAAGGCCAGGAGTTTGAGACCAGCCTGAACAACACAGCCAGATCTCGCCTCTACAGAAAAATAAAAATAATAAAAACATCAGCCAGGTATGGTGGTCCATGCCTGTAGTCTCAGCTACTTGGGAGGCTGAAGCAGGAAGACCCCATGAGCCCAGGATTTTGAGGCTGCAATGAGCTATGATAGTGCCACCACACTCCAGCATGGGCAAAAGATGGAGACCCTGTCTCAAAAACAAAGGAAAAAAATCCAGCCTGCAGTTCGGGGCAGGGGAGCTCTGGGATGCAGAAAACAGTGAACGCAGCAGTCTGGAACTGCTATCCTTAGAAAGTCCTGCTTGTAAGACTGGCCCCTGCCTGCCAGTTTTCATCTGGGAAATTAGCTGGTGAATACTTCCCCCCTGTGCGACACAAAACTATCGTTAATGATTAGCTCGATGTGACATACCCAGACTGTACAAAACAGCATGGCTTATGCTAAACACCTGATTTCCTTCTGGGAGTCTGAGATTTTGATGCACGCTAGGCAAAAGGTGCATAGGGACCAGCCCCCAGTAAAAACCCTGGGTGCTGAGTGTCTAATGGGTTTTGCTGGCTTAGAGACCTGGCACACGAGGTATCACATTTTCGTTGCTTGGAAACTGCCCTGAGTCACTCCTCATGGGGTCATTTTTTTCCATTACCATCTGGTGTGTGTTCTTGCTATGTCACTGTAATAAATCAACCCTACACTGACTCCCAGGAGTCCTCCTGGCAAATCTCCCAACGTAGGGGTTGGCACACTGGGTCACCCTGGTGAGACCCAGATGGAGAGGGAAGGACAGGGAAGAAAAAATTAACAGTAAACCACAAACCACCCTGCACTGTTTCATTGTTTTGGGGGCTTGAAAGAAGAAATGCTGGCAGGAATCACTTTATGAAATAGAAATTCTAGGCTGGGCGCCGTGGCTCACGCCTGTAACCCTAGCACTCTGGGAGGCTGAGGCGGGAGGATCGCTTGAGGAGTTCGAAACTAGCCTGAGCAAGAGCGAGACCCTGTCGCTACCAAAAATAGAAAGAAATTAATTGGCCAACTACAATATATGGAAAAATTAGCCGGGCATGGTGGCGCATGCCTGTAGTCCCAGCTACTTGGGAGGCTGAGGCAGGAGGATCGCTTGAGACCAGGAGTTTCAGGTTGCTGTAAGCTAGGCTGAAGCCACGGCACTTACTCTAGCCTGGGCAACAGAGTGAGACTCTGTCTCAATAAATAAATAAATAAAAATTTTAAAAATGAAATAAAAATTCTACTGCACTCGCTAAGGAAAGAACAGGCAGTTTTCAAAGGCTTGGGCTGCAAGGCTCACTCCCACGTTTTAAAGATTTAGAATGGAATGCAAATAACAAACGCATATTTCTATCCCAGGGATTTTCTCGTTTGCAGACTTTTGTGAACGACTGCCTGCTGGACGCCCATACTTGGGCATCCAAGGGGCTTCTCAAACCGGAGTTCCTGATTTCTCTCCTCCACCGCCCCCAGACCTGGGAGCCCCATCTTAGGAAATGGCAGCTACAGACCAAGTCCAAAAACCCTGCAGTCACCTTTGGCTATTTTTTCCTTCATATGTCAGCCAATTTTGGTGGATATACTTAAAATAGATCCCAGATAGGCCGGGCGCGGTGGCTCACGCCTGTAATCCTAGCACTCCAGGAGGCCAAGGCAGGAGGATTGCTGAAGGTCAGGAGTTCGAAACCAGCCTGAGCAAGAGCGAGACCCCGTCTCTACTAAAAATAGAAAGAAATTAATTGGCCAACTAAAATATATATAGAAAAAATAAGCCGGGCATGGTGGCACATGCCTGTAGTCCCAGCTACTCGGGAGGCTGAGGCAGGAGATTGGCTTGAAGCCCAGGAGTTTGAGGTTGCTGTGAGCTAGGCTGACGCCACGCACTCTAGCCTGGGCAACAAAGTGAGACTCTGTCTCAAAAAAAAAAAAAAATAGATCCCGGATGCACCCACTTTTCCCACCTGTACCTGCCGGCGTCACCGCCCACCTGGCCTCCCTGCACTCCCTGCCCTGCCTGTTCCCCACACGGCCGCCAGAGGGCGCCGCTCCCGCCGCGTGGCTCCTGCTCACGGA